TTGATCTTAATTTGTATTAGTGCCTTCATCGTTTTTCAGTTTATCCTTATCGATGCTACTTGCTGGATCGGTGGATGCTGTTGAATTATCGTTCATGTTAACATCATCGCCAATGCGATAATCTGACCCCAATGCTTTCAGCGAATCATTCACAACTCCAATTAATTTTGCATTCTTTTTATTCACTCCACCGAGAATTTTATATAAATCTGTTCGTAATTCATCAATGAAATTTCGAGATTTCTTCTGCGCAGGATTTTTTTTTGCTTTCCGCCGTACAATAGTATCGTTGTTCGGTCCTTGAAGCAGACTAGTATCGTTGTTCGGTCCTTGAAGCAGACTAGTATCATTGTTCGGTCCTTGAAGCAGACTAGTATCGTTGTTCGGTCCTTGAAGCGGACTAGTATCGCTGTTCGGCTCTTGAAATGGTACAACTGAAAAATCTTTATACTCATCGCTGTCACTTTTCGGCTCGTCATCATTTTGTTTGGTGCCATTTGTAGACTCAGTACCTGAAATCAAACAAGAATAATATCTGATCATCAGTTTTAATTGATGTTGCTTTATTGGATCATTCGACAGTTAGAGAATATTTAGCAATGTGATCCTTGATGATGATGCATTGCTGAAGGTTGTTGAATACTCTGATTGATAGTGATATTCAGAATATTGAAAGAGAAACTGTTGAATTGAATGAGATGGAATCAATCTGCATTCATTCATATTTCCGAGTGATTCTGATCATTCCTATGCAACATCACCCGAATAAGATGGAAACCTCGCTGATAATAAAGGAAGGCATTTGAAAATAAATGAATTAAATATTCCAGAACATCTAACATTATGCATCAACAAGTTAGCAACGATGAGAAATACATCGTGAGTCTATTTTTATTGACTCATGATTTGTAGTAAATTCAAAAATGTCACTATAGAACATGCATCTCCAACGATTACATTTAAGACGAATATCTGAATTTTCAGCTCAGTTTTGACGGGGTGTTTCGAAGCGTTTGGAAATGATTTCTGAACTGCACTCACCAGCCTGACGGGCAAGACGAGTGCGTTTCGGTTGACTTCGATAATGGTAATCGGCTTTCTCATTTTGTTGTTTACCGGCTAATAAGAGTGCCTCTAGTTCAGGAGATGGAGCTCTTTGTACCGTGATAACACGATGTGGTTTATTTGGTTGGTTCGGTAGAACAGCATCTTTATGCTTCTGAGATAGAATCAATTTTTGCATTGAAATGTATTCTATTGGGTCAATGTTCGCATTCTGAAACGATTGAACAGAACGTTCGTTAGTATTCAATTGATATTAACATCAAATAAATGGTATTATGATAAGGTGAATAATAAATGGTACGATTCTGTGTCCGTTCGAGTGTTTTTAAGGGAATAATAGGAGCATTTGGGGAATCTTTTGGGAAATGGAATGCAGTATTTCAAAATATGAATACGTATTCAATACCTTATTCAGATCAACTCTGAAAAAAATTTTCTTCAGCACTGACTTTTTCAGATCTTCGCCATACCTATCCAAAAGCTCATCGAACGAGATCATACCGTTCCCGTTTTCGTCCAGTATCTTCAAAACATTGTTCGATCATTTCTATATGTCCAAAAAAATATTAATTCTTTGAAGACTAATGCAGCTATCAAGAACGAAAATGAAGAGGAATTATTTCGAAAATAAAGAATTGTTTTCCTGATTCGAAGAAGCTGGGAATAAATTAACTGATGTCGTTAGAGGAAAGGCCAAAGAGTGAGTTGAATACAAAATCATGGGGGCGATTTCCGCATTTGCAAGTGGACATTACAAAAACTTAATTATTCGAGTTGAACTGACACCGAATGCTCCACTTATTTGGGCAATAATGAATTCGAAAATCCAAAAAAAAATTTTAAAGTTTGGAAACGAAGTTCATCGAAATGCAAAGATTACCGTCAATTTATCGAGTGCTTCAGTGGCAGCTTCTGCGCGCAGTTCACTCAAAAAATCAACCAACTCCAATTCATTAATCTGCAAATAACACTCTCCATTTCCAAAAAAAAACTGAACTGTTGAAGAATACATTCAATCTTTGTGACTATAATTTCCAGGAACGAACACTTGATCAAATTTGTTAATTGCATACAACTCGTTTCATTCATTATCATTTTTTTTGTTTCTTCATTGCAACGATCATTTGCAATTGTTACATTTCAGTTTTTTCCATCCAATTTCTTGAGCGAATAAAATTAATGAAGCACATAACGAGTCTTTTTACTGCTATGCATATATCCAATATTTGAACATTGTTCAAAGCAGATGCAGAAAGCGCACATTCGAAATGATTTGCAAGATTTGACTTCAAATGAGAAATCCCCTTCCAGCGATGAGTTTCTGCAGCGAGATTTATTGATGAAATACACATCTCAGTTAGAAAGTTCGCTTTACCTTTTGCTGTTTTCTGAAGTCGACTGTTTCAAGAATAGATGACGTGATCTCAGGTCCCAGATCAAATACCTCATCAGCCAGAATCTGTGCTTCTCTTAGAGATAAGAAATGGTCATTGTCCGAATCGTATCTCTGCAAATGAAGTGAATTAATATCGACACATGCATGGTCAGGATTTTCGTTGAATGTGGTAGTGGGTGCGGTGAGTGGTGAATATTCGGGTTCGTTGTTGATTTGTAAGTTAGTCGTTAAGTACCTTCATCAGTTCAGATGCATCCTTCAATGCCAACGATCTGAGAAGACGTCTGACGTGCATCAACTCTTCAGAATCCAAAAATAAGTCGCCGTTAATATCCGATTCCTCGAAATGCTTCCGGATTACACCAAATGAGTGGCCATGTTCCATATACTCGCCTTGCATCAGCTCAAATTGACTCAATTTTCCGTTATTATCCACATCATGTTCCTGAAAATTAAACAGATACCCAGAAGTCAACCTTGATATGTTTTTAAAATTTCTAGCGAAGCTATAATGAATCTTTAAATTTTCTCAAAGGCACAACCTGGTACATGCGGTAATTTTTTATTTGTGCTCCAATTTCTCATCAAAAATTGTATTTCAGATATGAGAGTGAATCATCCAGCCTTGTCCAGAAGAAATTTGTGGGAGTATGTTTCTTCACATGAATGCAGAGAAATTTTTTCTATGCTAATTCACAGAAAATTAGTTCAAATATCTCACTTTGAGCCATTGTTCCGTCATTTGCTTTGCATTAGCTTCAATGAGCGTTTTTCCAGCTTCAATCTCGGTTTCATTCAACTCATTGTCACCATTTTTGTCGACTCGGCGGAAGATGCTCTGAAATATCAGTCACGATGCCATAGGCCCATTGAATTCATTTATTGAAAATGCCTCAAATACAAGCTCAGCTGATATCGTAGATAGTGAAATGAAACTTAAATGCTCAACAATATTCTGCGTGATTCTTAATGATCTACTTGGATAGCAATTAGTTATCCTATAGCAATAAGTTACTTTTAGAATATCTTTCTATCATCATCCAAGTACTCATCCCCTCCACTAATTCATTTACTTATTTATCCATCAATTGCAACTCAATACGAGTTTATGGCTTTCTGTTATCATCAGTATCACGATTTTGAGGAACAGTGAAGTATAGCTTTCCGATGATGGTTTGTGTGTGTATGTGTATCTCACCAACAAAATTTTGAATGCCTGTTAACAAATTGATTGAAAGCTCATTTCAATTTTGCATCAGTTATCTTACTGAAGAAATATTTGTCTTTTGGACGATCGATCTTTTTACCTTTCGATGTCTTGATTAAAGACAATAACATGTCAAGGTCAAATACGATCTACACACACATAACTTACATCACTGAATTCAGGTGCTATTTTGTAGTCGCTGTATGCAATCCGACGTAATTCTCGTTTGTCAACCACACCGTCATTGGTCAAGTCAAAATATCTCAAGATTGACTCATCTGAAATACGTTTGCGTTTTTTCAACGGTTCAATTTGAGAAATGCAATCGAATCGCCTTATGGTTTGAAAAACTTCGAATGTATTTTTACTGATTTAACCTAATTTCATACGAAAATGCAACCGTGAAATGAACTTCAGAAATGTTAGAATGAGTGCCTGTATATTCAAATTTCCAGCTTTTGTGAAGCGTACAATGCGTGCTCGATTATCCTCATAAAACCTTGCTCAACTTATCTAATATCATGTGATTTGTGCAGAATTTGGCGTTTAAAATTTGATTCCTCTTAGATCGTATTGTTGTTGACAATTCAGCTTTAATAAATTCACTCATGATAAACTGTAGATATAGCGGTCGGTACCTCTGCTGGATACACACGAAACTAAATTGATTGTGATGAGCAGAAACCAATATTGCATCATGTCCGCGACCGCAGAAAGCACTTCCTGGAATGAAATCTCATTAGCTGAGTTCATTTCGAAAACCTCTCATTAGCATTACATCAATGCTCACAGTTAGTTATCATCTGGCATTAATTATCATTCATTATCAATGTTCATTATAAAAAGTAATTGTAGGAGAGCAAAAATTAATTGATTGAATGAAGGCAAGCAAATTAATTGTATTTTCTAAAAAATCCGTTTAAGTTCAAACAATTTGAAACTCAGAAAAGAGGATATCATTTTTCTGGGAAGTTACGGAATGTGACTACGAATATTCATTCCTATCAAGTATTCATTACATATTCACTTCTATTCACAAAATTTGTTCGAATCAACATTAAGCACCACGCGTGGGTTACATTTTACATCAATTCACTGATTTCACGCTGTCCCCCGTTCTCCTCTCAATTCAGTTCTTCTTTACTGTCATCAATCGTATTAAGAGTATTTTTCATCCGATTATTGAAAACAATCATAAGTAATGAAAATATGCAATAACAAAAGTGCTTTTTAACGTCAAAACAAAATCAGTGACTATTGATATGGAACAGTCAGAAATCAAGCATTCATATCTAATAAGGATGCAATGAATTTTTTAAATAGAGATTGTTCGTTTGTATTGGTTGCTATTGCGATAAAACTGAAAATAAGTGAGAATATAAAACTGTGAATGAACGAATGCAATATGGCGATTGGTAAGAAAAGTGAACTAAGTGTTCGGATGTAAGGTTAGCCGTAATTTTGAATGCATTTAATGATGTTTTTAGGTCAAACACATGCACGCCTTGATTGGAGACGACATTCACCTTTCGTCTAGAGATAACTAGCCATTATGATGATTGCATTACAATATCATGGCGTTTTAGATCGTAAATTGACGAAATATTATAATACAATCAAAACGCTCACTAGGAATTAGCTGAGGATGCTCATGAATCAACAGCCGCGTTGGCTTGCACTTAACGATTCGGAAAAGGAACGACTCTCTTTTTTTGAAGGTGATCTTTCATATGAGGCCAAACAATGAGCGCCTGAAGGAAATTACCAGGAAGTAGCTGTGAATTATGGTCCAACATTGAAGTAGCCCCATCATGGGAACTGATTTTTTTGTAGTCTTGGTTATGAGCATCAACAGGATAGCAAATCTCGGCCTCAACGTCCTTATTTCAGTTCCATATGTTTTCACATACAATCGAAACGTTCTTGTAGCCCCACAGAATTGGTAAGAAAATATGTATTGGTAAGAATTGCTTTTTGTTGTTTTTATCTCACGGAACAGAATATTTCTTCTCGCCGAAGAAAATCATCGAGATAATATCATTTTGGTCAGCGATTATCTCGCCCATTGATAGGAGAGCTAAATGCTAAGGAGATTAACAAACACTCTCAAATGACGCACTAGGCAGTGTTATAATAGATTCGGTTTAATTGACCAAACAATCGGTGAGAACGAAATCTCGATGAAGGTGCTCCATGTGTGTTTCGGTAACAAGTTTCTCATCACGAAACAATTGCAGTTTCTCATCGCAAAGAACTCTTCGAATGTCTTTGTTGTTAACACGGTTGTCACCTTATCGAGCACCTGGACAACGATTATGAACGATTTTCACATCTTTAGACGAACACTCTACACGCCACCCGCTTCTTCTCATCTGATCGTCCCATAGATCAGTGATCGTCGAAATGTTTCATTACATTTAATTCAAAAGGTTTTGTCCCCATCAGTTTCACCTTCTTCGTTAATTTCATTTGTTAAGCACCTATTTCCGTTGGTATTTTTCCTTGAGTGCTTCTATTAACCGAGTACATTTCCTCACTGCGCACATAAATTATAATTTAATAAACGTTTTCGTTCGATTAACACTGCATAAGATTTTGCTTGCGAGATGCATAGTTTTGAATTTTCGTATCAAATAGAAAATTCCATTCAGAAATCGTTGAATTTCATTTGTATCACGATGAATGCGGAATCAAACAATTTGTATGTAAAAAATCTAGTCTTTGAATAGTTGCGCAGCAAAATATTGACCATTGCATGAATTTTAATCAAAATTGCCTTTTAATGCCTTTTAATCTAATAACACGATCATTCTGAATTAGAAATCTCAGTTCCGTTGGAAATTTTAAAAAATTATTTATGCTACGCTCAAGCATCATTTACCTTGTTTGAACACCAGACTTAATTAGGTTCGATCGGACATATTAAATATTTATGAATGTTTTCGAGATTGTCTTAATCACGAGTGAGTTGTACGGTTACGACGTGAAAAACTTGATTTCAGTTATGCACCTGTCACCTGTTTATGATTAGTTACGTCTCTCGAATAGAAATTATTCGAAATTCTTTTATAAAGAAAATTAAAATACAATTCAAGAAGACTTTTACAAACGCTTGTTGTGAAATAATAAAAACTGCAAGGAGAAAAGTAAAAAAAGTCGATTGAAGAAAATAAATTTATAAACCGGTCAAATCAAAATGAAACATATAAAGTGTGAAATTTTTCCAGACGCTTTTGAAGAGCGATTTAATTCGATAACTGAGAGAGTTCATTTCGGTTCAATGACAGAACGCTAAAAGTTCTCGTAGAAATGTTCAGATAAGCAGTTTGATGTGGATGTGATGAATACTATCCGTGAAATGATATTGTCGATTGGTTTTCAGTATGTTACGGTCAACATTTCTTATTGACAGATTGCCAGTCCAACGTTGCTGTTCCCACACCCCTTCGTCACTGGATGGATATTAGTGGAAATGAGAATTTATTTCATAAAGCATTTTCCATCACCCTGGCAACTGTGAAAAACTCTGTAATTATGCATTCCAAATACTTTAGTACGAATGTTCGACGAACTGTCACATAATTAATTCGAAAACGATTGAATATCTTACTCATGACCATCAATGTTCAAATAACATTTTGCATGTTATAGTCGGAGTTGGATGCGTTTCATTCCATTCGACAATTCTGGTAAACTCAGCCATAAGCAAATCGTCCGACAAAATATATATTTTTCTGAATGCAGAAATTCTGCTCGATCGACCGGTGTGAAGAGATTGAGGTGTTACTGGTCAAAGCTGAGAGTACGGTAGGTTTGAATGAGCTAACCCCTATAGCATCAGAAAAATAACTATATCTTCTCGCAGAGGCGGAATTTCACGGCGAATTTTTCATTTTTAGAAAGCTGAGATTCTGCTCGATCGAATGATGTACAAATATTATGATGTTACTTGGCAAACTTGAGAAGACGGTAGGCTTGAATGTATCAAACCTATATTTCTATAGTAATGTATAATATCTATTGATCTATTGTGATCAAATGCACATGACTGAGCACCTCAGCGCTAATTGAGATAGCTTTAATAAAACAGCTGTACCTCTGACACATTGCACTCGTACTGACATATTTCACGAGTATCTGAATTCGAACATTTTTCGAAGTTTCAACCTCATTAATTGTACTCAACAATTGTGTTCTCCCGACCATTCCCTCAGACACATCACAGTCGTGATGTGATGTCACAAAGAGCCATAATTATTCAACGTCTGATAAGTTTGTTTTTTTTTTTTGATTTTTTTGAGTTTGAATAACTGCTATTGAAACAGTTCATACGAGTAATTCAATTGTAGTTCATATAAAGCACAATTAATTTATCTTTTACCGTATTTGAAAACATCTGAAGCACTGAGGCGTTGCCTCAACGAAACAACCAAAACCAACCACGCCCCAATGTCATTCCTTTTACCTTATCTCGAGCATTCCCTCATATACAGTCGCCGTGTTATATCACTCATTCATTTTGAAAAGTTTCAAATTCGAATTGTTTGTTTCAAATTGTTCACACGGAATAAAATGCTCCTCGTTGTTGCCTTCGTTATCATTATTACTATTCGAAGTTGAAAAATTCTATCAGCCGTAAGTGTCCTCTGATGAAGTTTTTGATTTTTCAAAGCCGTTCATAATTGGATTTCCGTTGACGCAATTACTTTGATTTTTCGATTGATAAATTTCCACTTGATATTTGAAGTGATCACTAAAAGCAAAACGGAAAAGTAAGCCAAAACCTCTGTGCTCGCCAACTCAATAATCGAAGTTAGAATTTCATGAAGACAAATAATTTCCGGCGCTATTACCATTAGCTATACGGAAATAAGAATGTCGAGGCATGAAGAACGTGACTTTAGTGATACTGGTGATAACGCAAAGGTATAAACTCGTGATGAGGTGTAGTTGCTGATTAAATAAATAAATTAAATAAAGAAATAAACTCCCACTTCCTCGTTAAGTAATCTGCTACTCTAAATAGGATTTTGTTCACAACTCAATCACCGCTAATCACCTCCACGATGCAATATTACTCGATGTTCATAGATTGCGACTGTTGCATTCATTTATCAAATCACATTAGGCTCATTCATTAATCTCACGAGCTGTTAACTGAGCTGAAAATAGGCATTCATTTATCGAGTCAGGTTATTCGTTGCGTTACACGAGATATGTCTATACCCATATTTACAAGTCACACGTCATTCTCATCAACTGTCAGAATTGCGAAGCCAAGGAATCCCGAAAATGCGAGCGAGCATGCATTGTATTCTCGAGCCTGTAATTGCTCTTAATCGCAATCATGCGCGATTCCGCTCAAAATTTTGATTGACTTGATAATTATCATTTAATTAACTGAATTCTCTTTGACTTTGGTTTACTGGTTAGATTGTGCCAGTAGAGCACAATGCTATATCCAACCTGAATTGTTGATTAACGATCAAGCGGATTGACTGACTGCTTCGTTGTTCATTGATGCATTTTAATGAATATGAAACAATCTCCGCTAACAGCAGTTTTGCATGCTTATGGCATGCTGCTCATGCCCATAATGATCCACTGACTTTTCACCGTTCAGTCAGCGCATCTAATCGCCATCATGAACCAAACAACAACTTCGTTCTAACTACTCATTACTGAAAAAAATGCATTGAGTTAGTCATTGAAGAGATGTTCATGAAGCGTAATGTTCTGTTACTTGATCATAAACCGTAGATGTGCATTTGCAAGCAGAACAATATCATTATTGATGAGATATGTCTTATCCACTACAATTGTATATGTCTATAGGAGTAATGATAAAAAAGATAATGACGCTTAATGAAAGCTTTTGATGCGAAAGTAATAACTGAGCATTTTGTAGTGTCGAGATGTGCATTTCTGATGAATAGCAGTGATTTTCGTCGTGCTCCGATGACTGTTTTCAAATGAAATTCATCGAAGCGATGATATCGAAATATGAAAATTTTGTTGATGCAACAATGGCAATAAATTAATGATTTCGGCTGATATTCTCATCTCGTGTCAACTACATTATTGTTGTGATGTTGATTTCACATTTCTTTCAGCGATACGCCAACTGAAAACATCCGAAATGTCACTTCCGTTGATACAAATATTTTTTGTTGCATTAGGCTCGATATCACTCGTTCTTTACATCATTGTAATAACGGCAGTTCTACGAATGCGATCCAGATATATAGCTTTGCGAGGATCATTCTTTTCCTTAGTTATCGTTCAAGTGAGTGAACTTTACGAATCATTTTCCATTCTTGAATAATCTTCATAAAATATTTTCATACTTTATTTTATATGCCAATATTTGCTATTCATTTACTCGATCATTTATTCATCATTCACTTATTACGAAAAAAACTGACGATTCCACATAACGCACTGATCGTTTTTCCATTATATTGATGGTGATCGTCTTTGATCAAGTGATCAATCAATTACATCCCCAATGTTCTAAAAATGATTCGACTTTTTTGATATGGATGTTAATTTTTGGGTTGAATTCATTTTTACGTCGACAAAAGAATTCCGAAAATCAAACACAAATGATGCGACAAGCTTGCCATAATCGCAGCTAATGTTATCATGTATATTTTCAGTCATTCGCTGATATACTGATGTTTTGCGAGTTTAATTTCTTTATGCGCGCTCGAAAGTACGGTTATGTGAATTTCATGTGCTCATCAAATAATGAACAAAGTTGCAGTTTTTTGGCTCGTTTCGCCACCGGTTAGTGCAATCAAAGTTTGAATCGCTTGGTTAATGATCAGCTATTTTATCTGTTAGGTAACCGACACTTTGCTGAAAAAAGGCGATTAATGTCAATATCATCTCTTCAGTGAATTGGCTAAGAATAATTGGCTAGAAACGAGCAATTAAGTGTTGAAATTGATTTCGTTCGTACTCTGATGGCAAAAACTGAACACATATCAATTTGTTCATGAAGACTATGAATTCAACAGAAACCTTTACTGAAAGTCACGAATTAAATATGGGTGTCCTTTTGAATCGTTCGATTGACAAGTGATCACTTCATTGAAAATTGTGTTTGAATAATTGGCAAATAATTGGCTAGAAACGAGCAATTAAGCGTTGAAATTGATTTCGTTCGTATTCTGATAGCAAAAACTATCAATTTATTCATGAAGACTATGAATTCAACAGGAACTTTTACTGAAAGTCACGAATTAAATATGGGTGTCCTTTTGAATCGTTCGATTGACAAGTAATCACTTCATTGGAAATTATGTTTGAAGTATGAAACTTAAATGAATTCAGCTCTGCATTACCATGTGAAATTGATCTTGTATATGGGTCATGTTGCACTGGCAGCGAATCGTCTATCGGCCATCATATTGCCTCTTCGATACGAATTGGTATGAACATTCTCTGCATGTGCACTTCACAGTAAAAGCAAACCATTCACGATTCACAGCATTCAACGAAATACTCAACGAAATCTAACCTATTGAAATTTAAGTAGAAAACAATTAAAGAGCATTTTACGATCAATTTCTTCACTCCAACTTTTCGCTTTTCCTGTCAACAGCTAGCCACAACGACCGAACGATTCTATGCTGATCCACTATGAAATTTTTTTCCGGATGCATCCCGCTTATTTGTCTCGGCACCTTCCCTAAGTCGGAAGTTTTTCTGACACAGCACTTGCAATTTATATCAGATCGGAATCGACACTAAAGCTTATTGAGTTATCGATTTCCGAGTCCATTTCATCAGCGATATCAATCAGTAATGTTTCCTATAAATAGGAAATCCAGATGCAGCGCCTATTTCAACATGACCTACTCCACTAATCCATGGTTATTTAACCACTTCAACATAAACTCTTATCGAACAGATCTGGACTCGGTCTCGTTTACGGATCTTCTGGGTGTGTCAGTGGATTTTTCCGATGGCAATCACGCTTCCGATTGTATGCGATTCGGATCGCCTGATTCGCATGATCTATCGACCCGAGCAAAATGCCTTACGCCTTGAGTTCGATGAAGCCACATTCCAAGTGAATATTATCAACGGAATTTGCATGAACTTTGTTTCTGTTAAAATTAATATCATTACTCTTTGTGTTTCTAAAATTATCAACATAATTAAAAATGTTATTGTTGTTCAAAATGCCGTTGCGTACACTCAGAATTCGAGAAATTGACACCTGAAATCTGCGTCTTTTGTTTTCTGGGAACATTAGCGAATTAACTCCTCAGAAGACGGTCAGTGCCGTCAGTGTTTGAATACACTGTCAAATTTTAGGCGATGAACCTTGCTGATGTGACATGCTGCCTGATAGCAACACTTACGTGCGCTGTCTTATACGCGATGATATTCTCAAAAATCTATCACCATCGCCGGGTAATGTCTTCTTCGAGTATTGCTTGCTGATGATTTGAATGTCATTATACTTATTGGTCACTTTTGAGTGGCGATACCGTCTTGATTGCGCTAAAAGCCATGCAACAAAAGACACAATCCCACTCAAGTTTCGAAGTCGTAAGATGCAAAAACAACATCAACTAATGATGTACTGAAAACACCTCTTAACACGAAAGTGCGCAGAAAATAATGCATTTTAATGCAAATCCTGAAGATTCCGATAGTGGTGTCATAAAAAATATTTGAGGTAATGATCATAATGCCGAAAAATACCAAACAAATGATTTTAGGAGAGATCAACTACGTGGCTTGCTGAACTGCGACTGATGATAGCCACATTCACAGTGTATGTGGTGGTCATCATCGATATGATCGCTCAGTTACTTGTACTCATCTTTTCGGCGAACGATCAGCTTGAAACTGCACTAATGATTAACGGGTGGACGTAAGCCTTCGTCTTATTCCGTTTATTAGTTCGCGATTATCAGCAATGAAACGTAACACAATAACTCATTGAACAGAATTTAGAGTTTTTCAGAGAGAATTTTGTATCTTCACGAAAAAAAGCACTGTGGACATGCAAAAAGAAAAAGAACACTGTTTCAGGTATCCAATGATCGATGCATTTTGTATGTCTCAACCGTGGACACTTGTCATTGCGAGTGGTTTGATTCGACGATGCATTTGCGAGTTGTTCGGATGCAATAAATCGCCGACACTCGCCTATCCACTTCGTTCGAACACCAAACTCGCACCAGTCAAGCACATCGCCTTTAATTTCAAGAGAGTCGCTGTAGCTGAACTCTCAACGGTGCGAAAATTTGAAAATACAAAAAGAAAGTCATTTTTGGACAGGATACGCTGATTCAGAGACAGACAGTTGTTTCGAGTTTCTCACAACTCCAACTCACTATCAGACGTTCGACAGACTACCACCGCAGGTAGAAGACGAGTGAATAATCGACTGAATGACCCTATAATGCGAAGAAGTTCTTAAATGAATCTTCTTCAACAAATTTGATTCAAATGATGAAAACACCATCACGTATGGAGCCATGATCTCATTTGTAGATTGTTGTTTTGGTTTTAAAAGAAATACTTGCAACTTTATGAATAAATTATTTGCATCCATAACGCTTTCATTCGTATTAATTAGTTGATTTTTAATCGTTTATTGTGTTCAAGCTTACAATCGAATTACGAGCAATTGGCGCTTAATTATTCAACATACTCATTTTCAGCTGTTTCATTTTTCATCAAAGTGTTTCCGTTTCAAAAAAACAAAATAACTGCGCGACATTTTACCACTGTTTTCAAAACGGTTTTCGACAATATACTACTCACTCGTCCAAGCGATTTCACCAGATTTCAGTTAATGAAACAAAGTTTTTATTCGGTTTTTAGCATTCGAGCCACAAGAAAAACAACAAAAAACATAGCCGCAACTGAAAATGGAACGAGTCAGAGAACAAACAGAAACTAAGAGATAAAACGGAAACGTGCAACAAATTTGAGGTAATATCAAATGAAAAACATCAGCAAAAGTGATGCGACTTGTGGAGAGAATTCAACTTTTTATAAGAGTATTCAGCGTCAACAGCAATTCGTGGTAGATGGCTGATTCTTTACCATAAATTCGGTCAAGCTGCGGCTCCACTTCTCGCATGTAATTCGCTGAAAGACGAAAATATCAAGAACAGCTGCAACACATCAACTGAACGCATCTACATTTATCGGCAAATAATTGTTCGTAAATATTCGCACGATTTCTTAGAAATAGCTATTGCCCTTGCAAAAATTTAATTAAAAACTTTTAAAGTAAGAAAGGCAAAAAAAGAAAATTCTAAAAGAATGCTTTCAGTGGAAGCTATATGATCATTACATTACGCTGTAATCAAATCATTTTGGTTCAAGAGGCATTAGAAAAATAGCAGAAACAATATGAAACACTAACCGCAGATTTCGGCTTGTCCGTTTTTGAAGTAAATTTTTGCAAGGTTGAATTTCAAGTGAATGACGGCCAAATCATTTGGATGATCGTAATGATTCAGCACTTCGAGTATTTGTGCTCCATAGCTAAGTGCTTCAGAGAATCTGCATATGAATAATCTGATTGTTGCCTTGCAAAAGCATCAATTAACCGTATCAAATCAGTCAGGCACAATCACACGTTCTTGCTCGGATGTTTGAATGGATGCGCACCGTCGCTAATAAGATGGATGGCTTTCATTTTCGAAACAATTCAATGATGTCACCAATGCACAATTGTCATCGCGTCATTAAGAGATGTCATGAAGGAATCCTGATTACTTCAATCAAATTTGTCGTGGTAACTACCTCTCACCATCGAATTCAAAAAGCACTCTGTTCTGCTGAATGTGAGCCTTCACTTGGGCTGCCTTGCAAGAAACTTCTCAATGGGGAATCACCCAAATTCAACGCCGACACTTACTCGGATAAGGCGACACAACTTTCATATGTATGACGCAGCAGAGCGAGTCTTCGAACATTGAACGAATATAAAACGTCATCAACCAATTCTAATGACTTCTTACACAAAGCTGATTTGCTGCTTGCCGATGGACACTTTGAAAGAGCCTGTAAGCTGATTTACGTCATTTGATTAACTATTCATCTCAGGCTTGTTCTATTTACTGAGTGATCAAGACGGAACATTGAGCAGTGCACAGACTCAACAGAAGTGGCATAAATTTGAGCCTTTTGCTGATAATGAGGATGCGCTTTCAAAACAAATTCTTTGAAACTGTGCATTTGATAAAAATTTATTACACTTTTCAAAAATGATACATTTGAAAAAGTGATTAATGCAGTGCAATAACACCTTCGAATCGGAGAGCACAAAGTCGCCTGATCATATAATTCAAATTACATATCGTATTTTTTAACTCTAAAATTAAAACAAACTTGCAAAGAGGCTTGAGCCATTTTGTCGGCCATTTCACACGTAGAAACATGCTCACTAGTCATACTATTCTTACAGCTGCAAAAAAAATAATTTCAGAACGAACGGAATTGAGCATTTCAGAGATATTTTGAAAATAGTGCTTCGTAATATCCCGAATTGTGATTACAATACGGGATAGTACGAAGCCATATGACCTGGAGAATTTTTTCGATGGTAATAATTTGAGTGACTGAAGTTCATTTGAAATTTGAGCGCGTCGCTTTACATCCACGTATTTTGATTGTTTTTTCGTTGAGAAGTTAGTGGGAGGAATGAGTGACGAATATTGTTCAGAAATAAGTTCAATAAAAACTGATCGGTGTTTTAAAAAATAATCAACATAATTAATTCACTCTTCACATTTCCCGTTCAATTTAATTGGTCCTTTACAAGCTTCACACGCGAACGCTGTCATTTGCATATTGCGAGATTCATTCGCGCAACCATCGCAATGACATTCGAATTTATAACTTTCCTTCAAAATTGGATATTTTCGAATGTTTCATTAGTTTCGTTTGATAGACATTCGAATAATCATTCTGAACAATAACGTTACCAGTTCATCGTCGAATAACTTCACGCCGCTAATGGTAATTGTATGCGTTAACAAGTGTTTTTCACGAAAACACTTATAACAACTGAAGTGATTAATGTGGAAATGAATGAAAATCGCTCGCTCTCATATTATAAATCAAGTGAAAGTATTAATAGTCAAACCATCAACTGCTTTCTACGCTCTTCAAGTGGTAGCAATTCATCGATATAGCTGTGTGTTAAGATTGCTCCTTCGGAACAAGGTTTTATCGGAACTATACGACACTCATTACCTCTGTAACATTTGGACGATTCATTTATTTAATCAACTCAGTTCAATGTGGAACTCATACATGAGAAATATTTCAACTTCAGAAACCACTAAAGTAACCAAATGTCTTTTTGGTGTGATTGCAACGCTCTCACATTTTATCCCTTCAATGAATGCAAAATGATTGCAGTGAAAACATTCAAAGGTGTCAGGATTCGTTTAGAAGTTGAACTATGAAAGAAGTGCATCTGAAAAACCAACTTGAACGCGATCCTTGCGCTCGGTTGACAAGAATGATCAAGCCCACTCAACTGAACACATAACGCGATACCAATCGTTGCGCCAAACACGGACGTTAAACCAAATGAATTAATGAATACTTTACAAATGATCGATTCAATCAGATCATCGCTCAGTTTTGCTTTCTTAAAATAAGGTCAATTGGACAACTTCGATCGCACACGATTTCGAACTATGAAATTTATTGAAATTGACACTTCATTTCATTCCAAAATCAAAAATATTCCGCAACGTCCATGAAGTATTCGCTTTTGATTGTATAAGAAATGAGAAGAGCTTGATAGATGAATGATATTATTTCACATATCAGAAAGACGCTTCAGATCAAAATCACAACGACTCCGTACTTGGATCGATTTGTCCGCTATACCGATCTCTAAACGACAGAACGAAAACGAAAAAAAAGTGAAACAGAAAAATGTTGGATACGTTGGGTAATGAGCCAATCCATTTGTCATACCCACAACGCCACTCTCTATAGATGGACTTCATTTTGTCTCTATGGTCCATCAAATCTTCAAATCGACGACCTCCCACCGCACTCCCGTCATCACCCATATCAAGTTTCTTCGCCAATCTCAACACCAAACGATAACTTTCATCGCCAGCACAGCCAGAAGCCTTGAATATGGAGCTTTTGGTGATGACGATCAAATCGTGAATTGTGATATTCGGAATGGTAACGTGTGCGTGAAAAAGCGATTGTTCACTTGAGAGGGAACAAGTTAATCATGGAACAGTTCAGCCTTCAGCTGAGCTCTTAGAAATATCATTTGATTTGTTAGTTGCGCTTTCACTTAGACCAAATGAGTTGATATGAGACTGCAATCGTCTGATCATAATTAAAAGGAACATGGCATTTGAGATATGATGCCAAAGTTGACAAGATCAGATGAGAGATTGCTAAAATATGGACAAAGATCTATTCTGAGCAATTATAATATTTTCAATATTGTTATTGTTACTTGGACATTGAGTGGTTGTTTTGTCAATCGCTGCGAGCGATCGGCGGAACATTTATTTTATTAGAGTCATAATTATTTATTGGATTGATATTCGGCTATGATTAATTATGCAAGGTATTCATGGCAATTAATTAATTACTCGGTTGTTTGTGTTCGGCTGGCCTGCTCGCCTAGCCAGCGGGGTGGCTTGAATTGAGGCTAAAACAGTATGCACGGAACCGCGAGCATTGTGGCCAGCAACGTTACAAACGTTTGATAGCCTGGCCAATCTGGATAATAAAGTTTTCATTGTGGCGGAATGAATGCGTTTACCTTAGAGTATTTACACTCCATTTTATGCATATCCCAGTCTGCTTGCTGGCAGTCACGATTGCAGTAATGAACTGTCTTGCATGCCGAGCATTTGTTGCGTTTGCTTGATAGCGATGGTTTCAAACAAAACGAACAATACTTCGACAAATTCGACGGCGATATCGCCCATCCCATCGGCTTTTCTATCAATAAGCCATCATTCCACATCGTTTTCTGGACGTTCATGAAAAAGAAGCATTGCAGAACAATTCAGATTTCATCTGATCTCTGAACAACAATGGCACAGTTTAATCATGAAAGTCAGAAAATTGTCGTCGATTAATAAAGCGAAGTATCACAAACAGCTCAACTCCTTCAGTGCCGATGATATCAATCAGTCAAATTTCAGCTTCTATTGTCTCTTATTTTCCGGTGATCAACAAACTTCACTATTGCAAAATCGCACCCTAACCGAATCAGTTCTTCGTTCAATGATTACCACAAATGTTTGATGCTCATCCGATGATGTTTCATCCGACCTTCGCAAAACTGTGGACTTTTATTCCGGCCAATGTATTTCTGGAGAAGAACTGAACTTGAAGTTAGTCCCGGCTAAAGCCGAAGTTTGAAGCCGAGGCTGAAAGTGTAACTTCGAGCCGCGCTTCACTGAATTTTTGTCCTAGCCATCAAACCGTTCGAGTTGTTTTATTCCTCTCATCAAATACATCTTTCTAAACGCCTCACTAAACGAACGTGATTCGCCATAAGTCACTGCACATAATGGGTTCCTGTGGATTATTGTACTGATGCGAACAAAACGCCTGTACTCTCAACGATATCAATACAAGAACAGATGGCGATTCAACGAAATATTCATTACGTCACCAGAATGTGAAATAGATTTTGGTTCACCTCTCCAGCGAATTACAACCGAATATAAAACTGAAATGTCGACATACGAGAACATCGTCTTCTTCATATAACATTCATTTATTCAATCAACGTACAAGATACTCGAGTAAGTATTTGAAAATTCCATTACATCATAANCAGAATGTGAAATAGATTTTGGTTCACCTCTCCAGCGAATTACAACCGAATATAAAACTGAAACGTTCACATACGAGAACATCGTCTTCATATAACATTCATTTATTCAATCAACGTACAAGATACTCGAGTAAGTATTTGAAAATTCCATTACATCATAACACTTCTGAGGGGCACACAAATCAGTCATCAATCAAATAATATAAGTAATTTACTCTCTTCAAAGGATAAATCTGATCAAAACAAGATGAATATAATATACACAAAAATACAGTGATTCGTGGCTCAAACGTGGTCGTATAGAGAGAAAGAGCTGTTCACCTCAACGATCTTGCAATCACTGAGCGTATAATATTTGAATGTGCCAATTAAAACCATTACTTGATCAAATCGCAAACGAAACAAATCAAAACGAATGAACCGAAACGTCACAGAGAATAGAACTTAAAAACGTTCACGTATTGAAGAATGATACAGTCAACGACAACAACAATAATCACGTTCTAAGTGATAATTTGCACAAGTAATAATATAAAACCGATGATAATGACGACTTGAAATTATACTTCTCGACGAGAGGATCATATACAACCCGATATGTTTCAATACGTGCGCAAAGAAAAGAAAATTCAAATGCTGCAAGGAAAAGCGAACCTTCTCGTTCAGTTTGGATTATATTCGAGAAAAAAGCGTAAAAGACACATCGGAAAACAATTGCATTAATCAGCATATTCTTTAACGCATTCATTAGTCAACATTCCAACGCATCTTGCACGTTATCCCGTAATCATTAATCGCTGTCCAACTTTCGGTAGTCAACGCAAACTTTCAAACAGCTAAATTTCTCACATGACATTTGGATTTCGCTGTATTAATCATGAAAATGGCAGAAAAAATTTGCCAAAATTTCACCGAATTTTTGTATTAATCCTAAAATTTTCAAAAGCTTACAGATAATGACGGTAAATCCATCATTCCAGACAAACGGCTATCAAAATGTACTTAAACGACACCGAAGAGTTCGGTATCTTCACAGCTGAAAGCAACTCAAACATTCAAAAGCAATCAGCAGATGAATACGACGTAAAAAATCACCAACTGCCAAATTTAATTGCATCTCAAATCGAATAAAATAAAATAAAGTGGGCAAATAAGTACCTCAAACAGATAAAACAAAAAACTTCGCTGATGAACAAATGAACGGAGATCGACTTCAAGAGAGCTACGCGCACATAACGGATGAAACGATGCAAAAAGTTCACAGAAAGTAATCGAACTCATTAAATCAATGCGATAAAGAAAGTTAACGTCATTCACAATACAGAACCACTAACGAAAATGATTCCTTCCTTTCTCAGATTCACTACAAACAATCGACCAAACCAGACTTGTGTAAAAAAATCCTCATGAACTATCAAAACGACACTGCGAAATACATACAAATAAAATTACTAGAAGATCTTCGAGTAGCAATATATGATGAATAATTAATTAAAATTAAAGTGAACACATAATAAACCTACAAACAAAACTGTGAGCAAAACAATTCGATTCATAGTTGAAGATGAAAAAATGTTGAAGATATACGCCAAAACCATTGTAAAAAAGAGTCAAACTGCTGACGAAAAATTGACACATGCCTACTGAAGACCAAAACCACGGCTATAGCTGATCGCCTTGAGAAGACGCTCTTTGGTCACTTCAAGATCGCAATAATCCGGTAGAAGCATTATATTGTAACATGTATGCGCTGTTGGCAGTCTGAAATGATCGGTTATTATAAGACATTCAGTATTCAGTCAACCACAATCCCAATATTTAAGTCTCGAGCTTAAACCTCTCCCTGACTAAAATCAACGAATCGAATCGAAATGTTCAAATCCTCGTCAACTAACCGTTTTTTATCATCACCGTTCCGAGCGATGGTCACATCCAACTTCGCAAGTCCACCAACCGGCACTCGATCCGATCCAGTAATAAACTGTAGGAACATTTTTTTCTCCTCAATTGTCATCGCCCTCGTGACTGTCCATAAGTCCTGTACATTCAAATGAGTAATTAAATGACTCCGAGATAAAATCCTCCAATGACAATGGCATATTTTACATTACAACATTACAACCTCCCCCAAAAACATTACCGAAATAATTACTAAAAGATTACCCTGATCGTCTGACTGGATTCCGAATAGCCGTTTTGATAGCGAGTTGATTTTGCCAATATGTCAAAATTCAAATCCTAAACATTCATCACATTATCTTCGAGTCAAAAGAAAAGTATCAAGCTGTTCGGTACCATATCACTCATTCTTTTCTTTCAACTAACGAAAAGGTCCGAAATGAAAACAAAACAAATGAAGCACCGACCAGCACTCCACATACAAGCTCTTCAACTTCCTGCGGTTGACACAATCGTCGCAACAGTCCTTGATTCGCCACCTTCACGAATCCAGCACTGAACGCTTCGAATTGTCGTTTCACCAGAACGTTCAACAAGAAATCGGCGTACAACAAAACGAATTCCTCAAAAAATTTTCATTCAAACAACACTCGATAAACGTCAATAAAATTTGCACACAAGTGCCGAATCAATAATCAAATCAAAACAAATAATCAACCAAAACAAAAACCTTTTTGTTTTCATTCGTCACTCGAATATTTTTACCATTTGGAATGAGTTCTTTGGCATGAGTGTGGCCGAATGCATCTTTATATGATATTTCAAACGAATAGCAATAGATATTCTCAACATCGTCCTCACAAGCGAGCAACTCTGTCAATCCTCGATATAAATCCTACAAATACTGGTCAGTTGAATTATATCACTGTACTTTGATTGAAAAAGAAAAAAACAAATGAAGTAACAACATCGGCAATAATCATTACCGAAACTACAGCTTAACTAAATATAAGGTCATCATTACAAATCCCGAACGGAACAAATAAACAGCAAAACAGACCGGATCCAGTTCATCAAGTTCATCGAATTGTGCTGGCCTCGCCAACAACTTAGTGTACAAAGCGATCGGAAACCGAACATCCACCAGAATATTATTGTAAATTGCCAAACCAAACAATAAACCAATCAAGCCATATTCATCATCACAAAATGTGCACTGTGAATTGAACCAATACAATCCGCTCTTTTCATTGAATATGAACATTCCTGAAAGATATTCATTGCTTGAATGTCACAACTTAAAACAAATGATCATGACTCAGACTTTGAAAGTGTCATCCGAATCAATCCACAGATAATATTGGACTAACCATAATCAGGACAAAATAGTTGTTGTGTTATTAGCTGATAGAATTCTTTAGAGACGCCGCCTTCGTCCACGGCTTGTTCGTCATCAAAATAGACACGAAGTTGCTTTCTGAAGTTACCCACGTTATCGAATGCAACCGCGGAGAGCTGAAAATCGGATAAACTTTCGAAAATGTTCACTTGAATGGCTCTATGAGATGCAACAAATCGGATGAAAAGCGACTGAAAGAAATGAGAAGTGACCGACCCCATCGAGTGCATCTCGTACGACATTACTTCGTCGAACAGCAAGTCTCAGGTAGGGCTCGATCATCACTCCGTACGTAATCGCATCTGCGATCGCATGACGTCGTTCGGAACGTTGTTTGATTCGATTGTAAATAATCAGGAATCGCTGTTTCGCTTCCAGTGATAACACGAACGAATATTCAGGTAGAACCGAGAATGCACGACCGTTTTGGAACGACTGAATTCATAATTATCGTTATTGGTGGGACAATTTTATAAAATTATCTTTTTTTCATATAGAGTGATCTCGAAGAGTGGTTATTTGTTGATTTGAAGTGAGAATCTGCATTGAAGCCTGCTGAATCAGTCGAACCTTATACGCAACAAAATCGTCTTCAACTGAGAAGTTTTCGCTGAGTGATGTATTGATAAATTCGGTAAGCGGGAAGCATGTGTTCGTCACTGCCCACGCGTCGATCTCGGCCATTCTCGCAGCACGATTCTCTCCGTCGTCGTCATTTTCGTCTGCAATCAAATCGATCTATTCAATCCGCTCTCGCTCCACGCACTAATCATATCTACTGTCCACTTAAAACAGCGCACAAGTCAACGAAATAAAAAACAGCGTGATACATACCGCGCGCTCGGAGTGCTTTCAGGAACGGTGATTCCAAATGTTGCGGATCGGAATCACTGAGCGCACTTTCTGAAATGTAGAAATTGAGATGTTGAATAATGCCATCATTCAGCTTCTTCAACGATATAAACATCAAGTTTTCTAACTAAAACGAACACCTACAAAAGAAGACTGTTTCACAAACATTACTGAATAACTCACGATCATGCGTTACTGCATCCTCTGAAGTATCCATTGCGTCAGAAGGCAGTGGTGTAGTTCTTTGTTCTCGATTCTGATGTTTAAGAAGTAATTCTGAAAATAATTGTCTCTTCTTTTAAACTAATTCTGGAACATGACAACTGCTCCAAAGAAGCTCTCAGAATTTATAGAATACACAAATTTATAGCAAGTACACTGAAAGTAGAATATTACTAATAACATCAAAAATCTTCACACGATAATCATTCTCAATTCGGAATCAGAATAAAAACATTTCAAAATGACACTGAAACTTGATTGGTGGAAAAGACATTCTGCGAAGTGAATCAATGAAATACAATAATACCTCGCGGTAACTGTTGTTCGGTGGATCGTTTCGCTTTGATCAAAACGGCTTTGTAAAGAATCGAAAGTGTCTGCACGGCCGTTGGCAGTGGTTCGATTCGATCCGTAAATCGCGGCAAACTTCCGACTGCATCAATTACAGTTAATACACGAATTGTTATCGCCTTTAATGCACTCTTTTATTCAATATTGATTTCCAAAGTATCTTCAAAGTGCTCTATTTCTTCGTCAAACAATCCATTTTTGATGTGCAATTCTTTTATTATCCTTCTCAAATGAATTGCCAAATCCGAGTTCCAAGTCAAATAAATCGAAAAGCCAATGAAGCTACAGACTCTTATTCGATGTGAATCAATATCAAGAACAATACGAACATTATCACATTAAACTTTCTGAATGCAACTGCTCGAAAAGCTAGTAATAACCTGCTGCAACATTCCTATGTGATCCTGCAACCATTCTGCTTCAAAGTTAGCCCAAACACTCGCCACCGTCATTTGCCCTTCGTTGCCCAAATTAGTGCACATCTTGCATAACGGCATTAAACCGACATCAATAAACTCAAACCACTGAACGAATGGTAATGAAAATAAGAGATTCATTAGGTGCACTATTCCAGCTGGATTGCGTTCCCAGGCACGTTCGTAGCGTAACTGAAATTATCCAATCCAATTATAATTACTCTCATCAGATTTTTTTGTAAATATTTTCGAGGCTGGCAATATGTGGTTGATGAAGTGATATGCAGTCGCAATCGCTGATTTTTAGCGATTGCGACTGATTTTTAGCAAATAATTCTCTGTTAGCATTACCACAATCACAAGAAAAATTGCAACGTCTTACTGATTGCAGCAATTCAAACAAAATCAGTTCGTTCACTCTCAGCGATAAGCAACGCCTCTCAATAAGATCAATTCAAAAAAGTGACCTGAAATTCGATGGCATTGCACAGTTTCGCCACTGAACCCATTGCGTTTTGGAGGAAATCACCGAGATTGTCGTTCATTTCGAACAAAATATCGAAACAACGCTTCGCTGCTTCCATATCAGTTGGACACCTCAAAAAAAATTAATGTCACCTAATGACATTTGAAAATTTCAACAAACACAATGATTAATTTTTTGTTCTTCTCGGTTCTTCAACAATTAATTCGTTGTTCAGTTTTTCTCACTGAATATCCTTCAGAAAAGAACTCATTTCATTTTTTTCCGAGAGAAATTAATCGGATGATGCACACGGCAACGAACTTCACAACTCATGATCAATGCCTGAAATTATCGCAATGTGAAATGGAATAATAACTTGAACAAATAAGCTACCTTCCACTCCGAAGTGCACTCAGCACCGAGGTGTTCTCTTCGCATAAATTTGATTTGTCATCATTCTTCTCCGCATTCGTCTAAACCATCCTCTCATTTAAAAATTACAAATATCTAATCAAAAATCATGAATATACAATTCCTAGACGAAAACTAAAACACTGTACTAAACAATAAATATTAACGGCTATCATCTCAACAACAAGAGTAATAACAACAGCAGTAATTATAATAAATAACAAAATAATAATAATAATAATAATAATAACAATAACAATAATAATTGAATAAAAGATGCAAACCGCAAACAACTAGATGTACACCAGAATGAACGAACCTTTTTATCACTTATATCCATACTCTCAGTTTGTGCATCTTTATCCTCGACCACAATATTGCGCCATCCACAGTCATTGCAATGCTCAGCGCGTGAGGTGGGGTGTGACGTACCCAAATCGGATGCCGACCTACACTTTCACAAGCATTATCACTGTCACCATTTAATCATTACTCATAAGGTTATCGTGAAATACTTATTAAAATTCGATTCAGCTATGTATCTTCCACCTAAACGGTGAACTAGATCCCTAGTAATACGACCATCAATACCAATCATTACTAATCGTAAGCATACGAATAAATATAAAATCTTTTGAAACATATGATATGAAAAAATAAAACAATTGAAATTTCAATAACAACAAATAAATAAAACCTCGTCAGACTATTAGACGCAGTCGAAACGACAGTGTCGATATTACTACCCGACTGTGTTACGTTTGCTGGCTGTACGTTGATGCGTCTTAATGCAACTGAAGAGTGGTCGTGTTGAGTCGTTGGAGTGTTCTCATTTACACTTCCATCTGCAGATGCACCTCGATTATCTGTCCTTATTGCATCGACTTCGGTTGATTCTGCGGTTTGTTGTTCCATTTCTGAAAGCATTACGTCGTTTATTGTGCAAAACGTGCACATTTCAAACTATTCTTTCATTATCATTATCCAAACACAATGCTTGTTATATTACTTTTGGCTATTATACTTATGTTATTCTTAAACTCATACCTATTCAGAGCCTCCTCTTTCCTATAAAACCCCTACGAGGTTGTAAGGATTTTGTTTTTAAAGAAATTCCTTCAAGCAAATGAAACCACTCTGAATTTCCATTGTAATTTATGGGCTCAACTAAAAGCCAAATGAATCATTTACGAAGACAAAACTGTCATCGCAAAACAAATTCAACCCCACATAAATAAATACATATCAATCAAAAACCACACGTGCTCTACAGAACTTTAATAAATGAATGAACGATGACTTACGTTGACTTGTAATCATCGTTTCATCATCGGTATCATTATGATGAGTATTATCGTTAGTGTTGTGTTGCTGTGGTGTACTGTCATCGGTACTGATATTATTATTGGGGGTGTTATTTGGTGAAGCATTTGCTGCCGATGAACAGCAGTCGATTGCACGACGTTTACGAGGCGCACACGGTGGCTGCATGCTTACTGCTTCTTGCTGACAGTTCATTTTTGGGGTATTCACTTCGGTTGTTTGCTCACATCCCTTAACATATCTCTTGATTGACTGAAGTGAATCGGGTAAAGAATCACATGAATGATCGTCGAAATGTTTGCAGAAGTGCTGCTGAACATACACACCTTTGATATTTTATCTGCAAAGTCGGGTGTAACAAATGAACGGAGCAATACATCACGAGAACCGAATATATATTCCACGAAGCGTTTCATCATTGTCCAATCGTTCGCTTCACGACATCTTTTGAAGATCTCTTTGATACGATCCTCGTTTATACTCTCCTCATAATCCCACTCTGAAACCGATCGCATTCATATTCAATTCAAGTAGGCAAAGGAAGAGTAACTGCGAGCAACCTGACTCAATTCCATAACCACGTAAGTTATCAAAAAGGTTCCATATGTAATAAACACAAACTTGGCGATGTATCACAGAATGGTGCTTTATCGCGAAGACATAACAGGGCACGTGCGGCTGCGCCGTTACTAGTCAACTTCGGAAATTTACCAGATGATGCACAATACTCATTCGTACAGTCCAATCGGCCACATCCAGATATCAGCTGTAATTTTTATTCTTATATTGTTATTTTTATCGATATGATCACCCAGCTTAGGAACTTTCAAACATTCATGACTGAATAACACACAAATATCCGATCAAATAAAAAATAGCACCTGTCTATAATATCTTCGCAATGAGTCTTTGAGTTCTTTCGTAACTTGAGCATGTTGTGTTGTTGGTGTTGTCTTGTCATGATGATCTGCTAGGTTCTGCTGCGTTCGCTCTTCTCTGTCCATCGTTGCTGCTGCTGCTGCTGTTGTTATCGAAGATGTTTTCCCATTAACCATTGCCACGAAAAACGAAAAATGTTGAATTTAAATACTGAAATTTAAAGCTTTTCAGTGCAACATTTTAAACAAATTCAAAACAACCGAAAACAATTCACCAAATACGCATTTCGTATATGCAACTGAACATTTGAAAAATGCTCAGTTGCATATATGAATAATCACAATTAAAATATAAAGATTCCCGAAGTGGGATAAAATGAGACGATCGCATCGCTCTTTCAGAAAGTTTTCTGCTGGAATGTAAGACAACGCAGTGCTGCTTAAAGCTGCAAAAACACATCACAGCAGTCTATGAAATAAAATGATCACCAACGAAGCAATAATAAAATATCTCTTTTAATGCCATAACAATTTTAAAACAATTAACTACCAGTAATCAGTCTGTGTGGATGCAATCAAATCACACACTAAAAGCATAATAAGGACATTCTTCCGACACTTGTTCTCAGTGCAGAAATGACTCGGTTAAGTTCGGATTCGACATTATTCATTTAAATGAAACTAATGCTAAGTATATATCAGCACAACGTGGCACTTTATACGTATCACCTGACATTTCTTTCGAACAAAGTCAAGTCAAGTTAAGTCATTTCGATCACCGAAACCGAAACAATTATCCCTTTTAAATCACTTTTAACAACCATACTGTCTTTGTTATATGAATGCTCCAGAACGAATCAAGAATATCGAAATGAAAATGAGAATGATTCATAAATGTTTGATAAACACATCAATTGAAACTGTTACTATCATTATTATTGTTTATTATTATTTACTATTATTATTTATTATTATTTATTATTGTTATTATTACCATTATTATCATTGTTATTATAATAATAATAATCGTTTTCACTATTTTTAGTTTACTATTGTTACCATACACAGTATTACTGATATTATCATCAATGTATTTCTTATCAGCAGTCATTTGGCGGGGAAAAAATAAGTTTGTGCCGTAATCACTCAAAAACGAATAAAATGATTCAAAATTCTCCTCCCGTCTTATTTTTTAAATAACCATTTTCCACCAAATGAACTAATGACATATTGCAACCGACAATAACAAAACTGACTATTCGGTTGTTCACATACTACCAAAAAGGATTCATTCTATCAAAAGTGCTAAATAAATATTAAACTGCTGCCATATAAAAATAACAATTAAAGTAGCAATTAAAATCGTCATTTGAACTGCCGGCAAATGTCGAACGAAAAAATTTAAAAAAGTGAACCTAGTAGACACACGAGGAGAGCAGTACCGATTAGGGTGGTACGACCGAACACTTGAAAGAAAATTTGAGAATGAAATGATTCGTGAAAAAAAAGAATAAATTATCAGAATGAATGTTTTCAACGATATTGTCAGCAGAAAATGCAAAGTTATGTTTATTGTTAAGTGGGTGAAACTACTAACATATATCTGTGGTTTGCAGGAGAGCTGTTCGAAATGAAATTCATCCATCATTTACTTTTATGAGCAATCAGAATTTAACTGATCAAATCCAAAGTGATTACAAAACGTTGATCATTTTCCTCGTGTACGTTGTGGAATTCGGAAAACCTCCACGAATAAAGACGGATGCAATGGAAAGAGACTATGGAAGGAGCTCGCAAAGGAAAGCACAATCTCGGACATTATGGATGCGCTTTACGGATAACAAGGTCAGAAACGTTTGACAGTCATGACCAATCAGGATGACGTTATGAAACTATCGTTGCGAAATTTATCATTTATTATACGTTCTTAATCAAATTGATTTTGCGATTGATATGAAGTGATATGAATAGTGACGATTTTGAAATCAAATTGATATGAAATATTTGATATGAAAAAAGACCATAAAACACTTCCATAAATTATTGCAGATTTGAATTTAAATTGTGAAGGAAATGTGAAGCAAGGTTTGAATTGGTTTTTAAGCGACGTTCAACGTTCGCAGATCACATGTTGAGAGCAGGTCAATTGCTCAGCAAAGCACGATCATTAAAATGATCGTTTGCCTGTGGCCCTTTGGATTACACACCCTTTCTGGAGAATCTTCCAGAGGACTCTCTTATTCAGAAAGATTCAATTTCGATCTAAAACCAACTGTAACAATATGAATACTGTAAGCTGAACTTGCACGAGAATAACCAAATTTTTCACGTAAGATGCTTCCATCTGTTTGAGGTCAGCCCACTTCGAGAGCTGTAACTTATCATAAGACCCCCGTGCTCCCCGCCAACATTTGCGCCCAATCAGCTATGGCTGATGACAACAAATTCATTTTATTCGAAATGTTTCTCGGAATATTATTCATATTATAGCTACCACGAATTCGAACAAAGCAGTCACATTCAAAACAAATCAAGAAACACGAATAACAACGGCAAAGAATACACTCGAAAGAAAGCACGAACATTGACAAGCATTTAAAAGTGAACTAAAATCCTCTATACTTTAAGATTATGACGCATCGAAGCTAACTCCTTAACAGTTACACGTATACGACAAACTACTACAAATCACTGCTAATAAACTACGAAGGAAGTGAAAACAGTCGGATAAATCTGTGAAATAATTAACGAGTTGTTTCAATATATAATACACAAATAGCATACGAAGTGAATAATAAAAGAAGTGCATAATGGAAATAAAATTTAGTATTGTCAATAAATATTCAATGAATTGATAAAATATAATTCGAAATGTCAAATTGAAGTAACATTCAGTTGAAAGATGATGCGGCGGCGGCGAATAAAAGCAGCAGCAGCATCAAATCAGCTATATACTTGTGTTGAAGAGTGAAACAAAATGCAGACGAACAAAGCATATGAACACAACAATTTTTCGAGTGCGAGTGATGCTGCGTTGTTAGTCATATGGCGATGGCATTAGAGAGTAGAGCCAGTGATCAATAGCACAAACAGAGCATACATACACATCGTGTATGCACACAAAAACGTTGTACACTAAGAACATCAGCTGATTTTTGGTTATTTATAACGAACGAACCACATTATCAGGTAACGAACAGCTAGGCTCTTGCTACGGTTTGAGAGTTTTCAGGGGCGAACTCCAACCTAGAACAGCTCGGAATTACGGGGAGGGGCAAGTTGAATAATATGATATACCCAAAATTTTGGAGATTAACCTGAATTTGATATGTACTAAACTCTGTGTAGGTCTCTCAAGGGGCTACGTGCCTGTATGGTACCTAGGTGTACTAAATGTAGTATATTGAATACTGACTAGTTCTAGCGATAATAACAATCAAAACATCAATACAGACATAATCATTCGTGAAAATTTGTGAAATGAATGAAGCCAAAGTAACGTTAAGTTATTCGAGATGTCGAAAAGATAAAACCCGGGTAATAAGTCCATTTTCTTAACAATACAGTCCCTTCCATCAAATTTTAACATCTGTACTGATGCAGGTAAGGTTATCGGGCATTTATAGGAGGCTTATGAATGTAACGAAATATAAAGACTGAATACATTTGCTCTTATCGAAAATATCTTTTAAAGCCAGAATGAAAGGGTCACTTTACAGTCACTTTACCACCAATCGAATAACTCTCACGAAAGCAAAACGAACGAGCAACGTTTCAAAATTGTATCCACGAACAGCTGAGAAGGCACATCGGTTGCGTGTCGTTTTCTTAAAGCATTGCGTGTATAAACCGAAAACTTATTAATCGCATTTCGTATCTATTAAAAATCTCATAGAACAATATCACTAAAGAATACAACATAACATTGATTATTTACACGGATGAATTGGCAGTTCATATGAATACACGTATCATGGTAACGGCGAGTGGCTCCAAAATGAGATTGATTCTTGGTAACTGAAAATAATACTTATTTTATTTTTTGATTATCCGTTAATCGCATTTCTTCACTGATCCCTGAAAATGTTCATAATGAATGCGGAAAGGTTTCATATTTTCGACGAATGTTTGCAAAAAAATGTTGAGCTCAATAAATATGACAAAAATGGTATTATAATATTCATAAGGATAATAGATTTGGACGATTACTCGAGACAAATAATGGTATTGTACTTATAACAGTACTTATGATGTGACTAGTTATTGAATCTATCAGCGTTACTAATAAATTTAACGACTGTTACTGCATAACAACGCAGTATACTTTATAAATAATGAGTTGCAAAGAGAATCACCATGGCAGTAGTGGTAATTATGCGGTTCATGATGGTGAATGTAGTTTGATACGGAATGAGTCATGATAATTACCTGAACTATCTAACAAAAATTACAGGTTCGAGCGCAATACTTCTGCATCATTGCCTTCATCGACGACATTCGACAACGCTTCTGTGCCCACCAACAAACCGTTATTTGATCCTCGCAATGCTTTTGTCCTTCTTCTGCAATTTTATGGAATTTTTTTCCAACTCATCATTCAGGCTATTTAGTGATTGCAGAATACAGAAAACAAAAACTCTATTGAACAGATCGCACAACAAAAATAAATGATGGATTCTAGCAGCTGTTCACTGGTATCCAAAACAACGCAAAAGATCACTTGTATGAGTTGGAAAATGAATCCAGAAAGACCTAGCAAAGGAAAGCAAAGTGAAGGACCGAATCGCATTGTGGCTATCAATGTTACAATTGTGGCTTGACAGCTTAGCAATCCGAGTAATCCAGAAGCTTATTATTGAACTATTGGTAACCGTCTCAAAATTGGCATTAATGGTTTCTCAGCAGACCGAAATTTGATTAAAACCGAAGCGATCGATCAAATCATTGATTGATCAATCCGAATCCTCGTTCGATCGATCAGCGATCAATCCTCATTCGGAGGATTACTTCACGAATGACGTTTTTAAATTTGATTTTGCCAGTATTTTTTCGCATAATTTCGGAAACAGATAATTCTGACAATGAGAATTTTACTGTTATCAGGAATATGTAGACCGCTGGTGAATAGAATGAGAGTAAAATAAAATGAATAACGTTCAGATGAGTACTTACTGTTCGAAATCACCACATTTTCGTCGTGATACGTTGCACGATGCAGTGGTCCGTCAAACTTGTTTAGAGTTAGCGAATAAAGCGGAGTACTCTGCAATTCAGACATCATCTCATGTCCACTTTATTCAGCACATGGTAATGGGATGAATAATTAGTGCTTAACGCTGCGTATTGATAACAATAATAATCTTTTGTGATTTTTGTATCAGTAAAATATTCGAAAGATAAAAACAACTCTACGATGGAATAGCACTCACATTTGCTCTGAAGAATGACTTCGAATCACCGACTCTCTCGGGACACCCGTACATGCGATTGATTTTAGCTAGATCCGTCTCGCTGAAATCTTTCGCGTTTCCAATCGTTGATGCATAGCCTGAAATTCGAAAGTTTGATTTCGATGCCAGATCTTTATGTCGTTTCTCGATACATTTGAAGACTTAATCCAGAGCAGTACTTTTCTCAATATTTTTCGGTCAATCGTTTGCATTTGTACAGCGTGATCCGCTAGCAAGACAGAGGGGAGCACGTTGGCTTAAAATTCCCAACTGTATGGTCGTACAGAGAAAATATCGAAGAGCTTTCTTCTTTTAGCTTATCGTCATTAATTTTTCACCTCCTGACTGTGAGAAATATTACTTAAAAATGCAAATGACTTCGACCATGATCCTGTTTCTTGTAACGCGATCATGAATCGCTATTCAAAACACAATGAACGTCTGCGCGGTGATGCTGTTTCTTCGGATGTTACTAAACTGAAAGAGGTGTACACTACCAATGAAATTACCTTCTTGTTTGGGTAACATTGTCGGGAAACCATTTTTGCTGAACGCAAGACTATCGTAATGTAAAATGGAACGATAATCGTAAGGTTGACCATAATATGAAGTTTTGCTTAGATCCACCTTTCCAAATTGATCCAGTGCTCCTGTAAATGAAAAATCTTTTTTCATGATATTCATCAAAATTACATCTTCGAAATTTCTTTATCAAATCGGAATTGATTCGCATGAATTTTCGACAATATTCATAGCTATCAAAAACAGAATTGTTATTCAATCTCAGCCATATAACTCAAAATGAATAGCAGAACGAACGTCTGCAAAACTGAAGTGATGTTAGAATCTCGTTGTGAAACTGTGATAATATCTGATGATTTACCTTTATCAATGTTTTGCCAAATAATATCGATGTAATTATCACGATCCCATCGTTCTATAACAAATTTACGTTTAATGATTTCGGGCAATGGATTTTCCGGAGCAACCAATGGGAATCGGTAGGATATATCGATGTCTGCTTTGAAATATGGCTCAAAATGCGGAACAAAACAAAAGTGAGGGTGGTACCATGCTCATGATAGAATCCAACAACGTGCATCATCTCGTGAATGATTGTCGCATATTCCATACAGCCGTTATCCAGCGATAACACTTGAACACCGGTCGTGCGGCCAACTTCCGAGAAACATCTGAGGAAATATTCCTGTTACACGTATCATTCAGTGTGCTTGAGAAAGCATGCGCGAGAAATGAATAAGAATATCAATAGGTCCAATTTTCTACCGAGAGAAACTCAATTGGAGTGAATGCAATTGGTAGTGATCTACTTACCCATCAACTTTGCCAATATACAAATAATCTCCTTGACCTGGTTGTCTTGGTACAAAGCGAACACACGTCTTCTCATGATACTGTAAAGTAAATCACCATTTTTCTCACTTGTCTTATTTTTCATCTAGTTTCCATAAATTCCCAGCAACATGGTGGTTTTTCAATGAATTGTTTTTGAGTGTATTCATAATTGCAACAATATGGAGTATAGCGGTGGATTCAATCATATGACACTTTTCAGTTGTAAAGTAGAACTGAAAGTGATCAAGAGGGATGTCGTCTGAAATGTCGTAAGGAATCAATCGACCCCATCACTGCACCATCAAAAGTGTCATGCTGAGAAGAGCAATATGCATGTTGCTGACAATGAGTATCGGTTTTGTATCAGCATAAAAATAGGCTATCTTTTTGCAAGCGAACATTGGAAATATCCATAACGCGAGCGATTTTTATGATTTGATCATGCACAAGATCATATACAAGCGTTGTCCCCATTCAAAAAATTCTGTACTTCTATGAGCTGAAGCGAAGGAAACAATGAAATTCATAAATTTTATCCCATTTTCTAAGCATTATGATTCAATTCAGTTGTAGTGAACTAAATGCAGGTTAGATTCAATGATACTAGAGTATAGCTGGTAACAAATTATCTTGCAAGTTCAAATCGATGTGAACAAAATACCGACCGACCTGTTTGACAGCTTTCGCCAGTAGTGCCCTTTCATATTTGGTGTAATGTGGTGATACAGCATAGGGTATTTTACCGTTAGGCCATAGTTTTGTGGGTTTGCTCACGCCGTTTCGCCGAAAACGTCTCCGGTTAGCCACCGGTCCACGAATGTCCGTCCGATGTTTATTCACATCCTCGATTGGCATCGCATTTTTATTCCATAAATCTGCTGCAATATTTTCAACTAATCGTTTTTGTGCGAAATTCCACGAAATTTCTGATTTGGAGAAAATGTATCAATCTCTCACTGAAATTGATCTCTTCTCTCTGAAATTCAGTTATTTGCTGAGTGATATGACAGTTTTTTTTGGTAGTAATGATGCATTGACATGACAATAAAGTGAATGAAGATAACCTTGAGTCAAACGGTCCGCATTAATAAAATCGCTTTCGGTTAAGGCAGACGTCTTGAAAATAAACGCATTGTTACCTAAAATGAACCACGGTAAACTGTTGAGAGACGAAGCAAGTTATGGGACAGTGATGGTAACCTGATAATATAATACATCAAAGGTAACAGTCATAAATCAATTTGGATGAGATAATTGTGAACTTGATTAGGTAATTTTTCAATAAAAATTTATCGCAAAACAAAGTAACTAAAAAATATCCACATGGAGATGCGAGCTGCATCCTTAAGCTTCTAGTTTTCCGCCTTCGAGAAGCACAAACCAGATTCGACTCTATGCTATCTCATAAATTGTGCGTATCTCATTTTATTCGGCCAACTAAAGCTAGTAAAACACAGAATTGCATGCATTGTAGCACAAACAGAGTAATCTTTCATCATAAAGCAATGAATCAAATTGCAGAAATTCGATTCAATCGCAGGTAATCCTGTGTAAGTTTGTAGACATTCTATCAATATCTTAATAATTCTATCGATTGGTATGGCATCAGCAGATTAATCAGAAAATGATTGATTCACTGTCAACAAGAAATTATTAAGATGCTTCTTTTTTGATCATCATTGATCAATCACCAAATATGATGGCAAAGATAAAATTCTACTTTAAGGTTAGTCATATATTCGAGCGATCGAAACAGGTCATTTCTAATTTGTTAATGCAATAAGTTTTCTCAATAAAGTTTTTCCATTCCAAACCAGACACTCTGTGAAATCCTTTCCTTATCATCGAATTAAATGACTTTCATTGAAACTATTCGAAACGCATTGCGCATCGTCGTTATTCCCAATGAACACTCAAATCATTCAACTGATTAATTCACTGTCAAGGTTATTTTATCGTCTTTCATTGCTCAGAATAATTGAATTATCAATGTAACATTCACATATTTAAGGCTTTAATTTGTGCTCAAATATCATTAATGA